AAAAAAATAAAAAAAAAATAAGCCACAATAACATCAAGGAGTCATGTCAAGCAACCCAAAATCGATAAAAACCCGTCCACAATTGGTTACTGAGTTTGCTACATCTACATTCATGATTCTCTTTACACTAACTAATGGGTCAAGGATTCATATAAGAAAACAGCTCAACTGAACAGAACAAACGCACCAGATAAATAAATTTGTTGCTAACAAGATGGGCTAATGAATTAGGAAAGTATCGATGCTGTCAAATGCTGGTTCATTTCCACTTTCCACTTGCGTTAATCATTATACTTCAAGCCATGATTTGTTAATGCTGGTTCTGCAGATGTCCAGTTGCGTTAATCTTGAAATGGTGTCGAAATTTAGGTACAATCGAGAAAAATAAATGAACAGAAAAAAAAAAAAAGGGTTGCAAAGGAAGCAAGCCATGATTTGTTAATGGTCTTTGCTTAGAGAAAAATGGATGCAAAAGCACTCAAAACATCAATATAAACGCACAACCGGACTCGAATTCAAATGGAAAGGAAAAACAATGGGAAATAGGGGAAGATGATTCTTACCAATAATATGATTTTGTAGCTCTGGCGACAGACGGTGGCCCAAGCGGCGGAGACGATGTCGGAGTGAAAGTAGGGTTTTATGTTGAAAATTGCAGCTATGGATGGCCAACAGCCAAGGAAGAAAGAGTATAACGTTCTTCAAAAAGAATTTCATTACTTTTTAATTTTTTAAATAAATAATAATGTCGGGTATGAACTACCCAGAAGCCACAACCCGGTAGTTCGGGTCTATTGCTATGCCCGATCTTGATCAACCTGATGGGCCTTCTGGGCCGAACCGTGTGTATGGGCTCATTTTCTCGAAGCATAATTTTCGTAGAGAGGTCCCTTTCCCAACCATAAGTTTCATTTATGGTGAATGGGCTGGGCTGTATATCTTTCATAAAGCCCAAACGTTTCAAAAGAAAACAAAAAAATAATAATAAAAGAATATTTTTTTAAAAAAATAATCTGTTAAATGTTGAATTTAATCATTTATGATGGGTACATTATGTGCCTAGAATAAAATAATATAGAATAAAATACTGAATATAAAATTAAAAAGGAAAATAAAAAAGTGAAATAAATATATTAATATAAGGGAGTAAATGTCAGAAAGAAATGAGGTATGAGTGGTAGTGGTGGAGACAAACTAATTAAGAATAATTGCAATAAGTTACTAGTAAATAACATGCAAAGATCCCAAGACATGGACACAGTGCCATCCATCCCTTTAGCATTTTTTGGAAAATAATATATAATTAAATATATTATCCAAATTAATAATTTATCTCAAATTTGTTTTTGTATACAAAGTACAGTGATGCAGCTCACATAAGTCCATGTGCCTCTCACTTCACTCCACATGCATAGTCTCTCTATAAATAGCCTGCACAGTAGTACATTAATATATTTATACATATGTTTTTCATTGTCTACACATGTTTTTGAGTAACTATGGATAATAAACTGTTACTGTGAATTAATTTGATATTATTGGGGTTAACTAAAGTGACATATATGAATAATCAAGTTCAGTAAATTGAATTTTCATTGTTAAGATGTTCAATATCATTTTTTCTTCTCTCTGTCATAATTGATTCATTCTTTGGGCAATTTTATGGGTGCATACATTGTACTTGCAAGTACATTTCACTTAAAAGGGATTTTATTTGCATGTTGCATTGAAAGAGATGGGTCAAGTTGAGGTGGATTGAGGCCATAGTGTTGCATGTTTGTATATATATATATATATATGTCTGTGTGAGTGTGTGTGTGTGTGTGTGTGTGTGACATTTGTATTGTTTATTGTTAATTGGAACACTTATTTCATATCTTATCAAGAAAAGGTTTTATACAATGAAATAAACTTGATGTTATTGCTTCAATATTGTGTATAGCTTATGCAATACTTGTGTTTATATATTTATTTTTTAGGCTTTACCATATTGAATTAATGGTTTTCTCTTTCTTTTTTAGTTTTCAATGAATTGAGGAATGAACAATATAATATAAATTAGGTTCTGAGCTATTTTGAAAGTTAATTTGATGAAGCCGACACCGAAAAAAATTATACGTAATATTCTTCTAATTGAAAAATATTTCGATAGTATTTTCAACTGATATACGAGATCAACGTTGAAGTATTTTATTTAGTAGAATTATTTAATGTTCAAATTATAATTCGATAGTTACACTAATTATTCGAGTGATTTATTTTCGTAGGAATTTCTGTTTGTATTTTATTGTTCCCATTAACATTGTTTATTCCACAAATAGTTCCAACTATTAGAAAAACAAAACAAAAAAAAAAACAAAAAATTGTTAAAATAATAATTATGGTTGAGTAGTTGATTATTAAATTGATATTGGTTTGAAAACTCTCCTTTTTT